TAATCCTTATTTTCAAATATTATTAAAAAAATTTTTGTTTGAATATTTTAATTTTATAAAAATATAGATCATAGCAGCATTACACAAATTTTCCAGGCAAATTTGCCTGGAAATAGCCTACAGATTAAGGGATAATGATTGCATATTAAATAATAAACTCTAATATAGAATTTTTATTAAAAGAAATAGTTACTAATTATAAATTAACAGCTTTGTGTGATAATGATACTTTATAAAAGATAATATATTTAGTTCACTTTTATAAAAAATATATCCTTGGTATTTAAAATAATAATAGAAATTTTTTATTTATTTCCTTATTTATTTTTTTTCAGCTGAAATATTATAATCTCATGGTAATTCTAGTTAGAGTGCATAAATCAAATAATTATATAAAAGATATTGGAAATATAAAAACACCTAAACCAGTAAATCTACTCTTGCAAAATAATATATTAAGTTAATATCTTTAAATACAAAAAAATAAGTATGTATTTTGATCAATTTAAAAAAAAAAAAAAAAAAAAAAAAAGCTAGATAGTAAATTATATGATCAGAATCATGATTCTTTTCATATATATAATAATTTTGTTATACGAATAATATCTTAAAAAAGAGAAAGATAACACGATCATTAATAATAATAAGCTCAATAGCACTTTGACATATTCTGATAATAGTACCCAGCATAAGAAGCAGACTACTTAAAATGTATGAAAGATAAGATAAAAAACTCATACCTAATATTAGCGAATATGAAAATGTAATCTAAGACTTTAAAAGAGCTTACCTATAATGATTGCATATTAAATAATAAACTCTAATATAGAATTTTTATTAAAAGAAATAGTTACTAATTATAAATTAATAGCTTTGTGTGATAATAATACTTCATAAAAGATAATACATTTAGTTCACTTTTATAAAAAATACATCCTTGGTATTTAAAATAATAATAGAAATTTTTTATTCATTTTCCCATTTATTTTTTTTCAGCTGAAATATTATAATCTTGTAGTAATTCTAGTTGGAGTGCAGCTAAATTTCAGTAAGTGTTTTGAAAAATTAGACCCTAGTCAATAACTTTTATGAATATATCAAAAAAGCTATTTTTTTCTTTATTATAATAATTGGCTAAGTAATCCTTATCTTGAATATGAAAATTGAACTTGTAAAACTAGTTGATCAATTGAAATAAGTTTGTCTAAATAGTGAAATGAGTTAAATTAGTTTCTTGATTATTTATAAGCTTGTAAAGTGAATAAAGTTCTACAAATAGTTAATTAATATAGTTCTTTCTTCACTAAAAATAGCTTTAAAATCATAAAATATCTTTTCTTTATCAACTTTTATTAAAATATAAAACCAGACTTTAGTTGATTAATTATTTATAATTATACCATATTAAAAAAGCATGTGATTGTGGGTTACATATGACAAATTGATTAAGAGAATTTAGATTTTAGAAAATTAATCGATTATTTAATCAATTAATTAATTATAATTAATTTTTTAAAAAATTTTTGGTCAATTAATCAATTGCATTTTTTGGAACATTACTAAGAGCACTAAGAGCAATTTCATAGGCAAAATTTTGAGAAAGAAAGAAATTTCACTTAATTTTGTTAATTAATCTGTTATGCATTTTGGAAGTTGTAATTTAAACTAGCTTATACAAACCTTAAACCTTAACTTAATTCTAATTTAACTTTTTTGTATTACCTAGATCTATAAATTATATCACATTTTCATGTTTTATACTCAAATGCAAATTTTTTTTTTACTTTTATTATGATGTTTCTTCTTAACCAAGAGAAATATCCTGAGAGTAACCCTTTTTCAGTTAAACAAAATAATACTATTTACAAATATCTTATTATTAATGAAAGATTTTATCTACCAACAAATAAACTATACTATACTTTAGTGTATTCTCATAACAGGAATTAATATAAAATTTCAGATAACTATTTAGTTCAAACTAGTTAGGGAAAAGAAAAATCAAAGTATATGATAGAATGTGAAATTAAATACGAGTTAATTAAACTGATTTTTAGAATTAGATTTCAAGAAGATTCTCAACAATATATTATAGAATCTAAAGAATCTCCAAGTGATACTGCTAATAATTATTTACAGGTCAATTCAAATTCTAATAAAAATTTTTATTATAAATATTTAATCTAATTTTTTTTATTTTTTTTTTATTTCTATATAGAAAAAAAATCCAAATAATACTACAAAAATATCTAGTATATATATATTTTGCCTTAATGTTATGGATATAAAAAGAGAACATAAAAGAAAAAATTAATCATCCTATTTTAAACTATTTAATGTATTGAGTAAATTTATGAAAACAAATAGCAAACTCTTTCTTGTAGATCATTTTTACAAAAATAAGCAGAAAGTATTTTAGTAAAAAAGTAATAAAAATATTTTAACTATTATAAAAACTCCTGCAAAAGAGTACCTAGACACTCTATAATAGTCTTTCTACTATATAGAATTAGTCAAAATAAAAAGAAAACAGAAAGACATTAAAAACAAAGAAAACTATCCTTCATTAGAAGGTACTACTACTCATATTCCTACTTTGCAGACTAATACTAAGTCTAGCACTACTAACAACAATATTATAGAATCCAACACAGTCGCTAGCAGTAGTAAAAGCTATATCCCAATACTAGAAAATAATAAAAACACAAAAGCTAACAACTAAGCTACTAAATGTTGAAGATTCAACCCTCTCAGAATTTTACAAATATCAAAAAGTAGGGAAAACAGCTTACCCCTATCTAAACCTACTAAGAGGTCATATGTTATACACAATACAATAGTAAACAATCAAATAAGAGGTGAGAATAATATGACTAATATCATTACTAATAATAGTGACACACAAATTGCTATAAATAACAAGGACATAGCACAAGCAGACCAATTGCAGAATAGCTATAATCTGTCCCATCACAAGGACCCAGTTCACCTTCTAGATATAGAACTTCAATCAAATTCTACAATAGATAAAAACTTTCATGCAACAAGTCCAACTCAACAAATGTCTTATAGCTAAGTATTGCAAGCAAACACAACAGATAATAGACTAATAGATATTGACAATACCAACTTATGAATAGATATCATCAGACAAAACATAGAACACAAAGAGTTAGCACCTTTCGACAGCCAATTATGGTCACCAGACAAGATACTTCAAAGTCTAAAATCTTTAGACAGCATCAAAAATTTTATACAATATAAACTCAAAACAATACCTATACAGTATAAAATTCCTTCTGCAATCTTATTTAAATTTGTACACAAAAACACAGCATTTTTTACAACTTTTACAAGAACAAAACATCTCAAACCAGTACATCAAATAGAATTTGAACAGCTCTTTACTTAAGCATATAATAAATATAAAGAGCATAATAATATTACTATTACAGACAAGCCAAGTAGAGATCTGATATATACAAAACTAAGGCAAAAAATTGCAATAGATTTTCTTACAAATACAAGCTTTAAAGATGATTTACAAAGAAGAATACATAATACAATTAGATACTGCAAAGGTTTTATGAAAGACACATTATCAATAAAACCTGCTGAACTAAGAAAAATCATTAGTCAAGCTATAGAAGAAACTCTACTAGAACTTCCTAAGACACTAGACCTAATTCTAAATGAAATACAAGAGTTACTCCCTTTTGAGCTTCCTATAATCAGATACTCTGATACATAAGCTATAGTTATATGTCTCTATACTGTATACAAATTTACAACTCTTTCTAACAGCTACTTCAAAGTTTTGCTACCACTTCACATCAAAATCGATTACCTAGATTCATTAGTACGTGCTCTCTTCCCAATAACAAACTAAAATAAACTTCATAATCTAGGATTCTACAAAAGAAAACTCCAAGACTTCTATAAGCTGAAAGAAATTCCTGAAACTTTTTTGACCTTCTAAAATAAAAGAACCTCTTCCTCTTGCATACCAAAAATTTAACTCAAGAGTTAGTTACCTCTTTCCTATTGATCTTACTAACTCAAATCTCTCATTAGCACAGATTATTAAGCTACTGAGAGAGCACTATAATTTCAAACAAATTCCAAATGATTTTTTCAAACCAAAGCCTAAATTGTCTACTGATATTTCTAAGATTAAAACTAATGCTATATTTAGCTATCCAATTAATAATGATATAGAAGTAGCAAGATTCATTCAAGAAACCAAACACTACTATTGTTATAGCATTCCTCTACTTGATACTATAATGATAGCAAACCCAACAAACAAATTTTGGCTCTCAAATAATCCAGAACAAATTGAAGACTTCAATTTAACACTACTTATTACCTCTCCAAAGCAGCTAGTAGAAACAGCATAAATGCTTAGACAATACTACTACTTCATTAAACTACTAGCTACTTGAATAGATATCAACAATGATACAGAAACAACAAATAATGAAGCAGAGACTACTAAGCCTGCACTTTCACAAACAATACAAGAGATAGTAGACTACCTTATATCGAAAGAAATAGATAATACAACTAACTTAATACTAATAACTAAGCAAACTGAGGTCACTCCAATACTCAATTTCTTCCACCAACACTTTACCTTCAACAATATTCCTAACATATTACTCAAATTCCCTCTACTTCCAGAGCTGTCTTGAGAGATCTTTAATCAAATACATGAGTACTAGATCCTCTACAAATACTACCAAACAATACCAAACTTTACTTACAATAATAATACATAATATACAAGGAATGAACAACAAAACTAAATTTTAACAATGGATAGAATTCTGCAACAGAAACAGCCTAAACATTATCAGTATTACAGAAACTAAACTTGTACAATCACGCTTTATTAAGCAAACACTAACTAACCCTTACTACTATTTATTTATCTCTAATACTACTGCAGATAGAGCACAAAAACAAGAAGCTAGTATAGGTATAGCAATAGCTATTAAGAAACTCCTTCAACTATATGTATATAATATCTTAACCTTTTCAGGTATCGCTCTAGCAATTGATCTTTTTTTATTTAATAAGAATTATTTCAGAGTTATCTCAATATACCTTTCATGTAACAACAAGGCCTTACTCACAGCAACTCATCACAAAATATTAGAATGGATTGATGAGACAAACAAACACAATCTACAACTAATTATTTTAGGAGACTTCAATTCAAATCTAGAAAGGAAAGATACCACTGCTAGACTTCTACACAAGCTTCAAAAAGCTGGTCTTCAAAGTATACTCAAAACCTTTAAAGTATCAATACTTACATAGACAAGATCACAACTTGAAAGCCAAATAGATGATATCTTAATATCTCAAAACATCCTTCATACCTTTCTAGCTCTAACAATTTTCAAAGCAAAAGAAGTGACAGATAGTGATTATAAAGTTATAACTATTGAATGATGTATCAATCCTTTTAATAAGAGCAAAGCTAGAAGAGTATCTAACAAAAGACTTATATTCAATTACGAAGAAATAAATTTAGGCAAATGACAAGACTTTATACACAACACCTCAAAGAAAACTACTAAAAACAAGGAGGTTTTCAAAATAATAACAAGTACTACACAACTCAACAAAACCTGGCAAGAGCTAAGCAATACAATATTACAGATAGCCAAAGAATATATTCTACATATATTCAAAATATCACAATTATTCAATACTTACACACCAATTGCATCCAAGCTCTACAAGGCCTTAAGCATAATTAATAGAATACTCAGAAGGATAAAAAACGACCAATTCACTTTACAGACTAAGGAGATCAACAAAAGTATCTTATAAATAAATGAGCTAGCAAATATGGATATTACTGCAGTTAGCAATAATGAGCTTATAACTGATTATCCAAAAATTGTACAAAACCTAGAGATATACAGTAGTGTTCTGAGTTAGTAAAAATTTTTTTAATCGATTAGTTGCCAACTATAGTTGCAACTAATCGATTTTTCTATCATATGACTAAATTTGTTGATTAGCTAATCTAACTAAAGAAATCAATACAAACCAGCCCGAATAGACAGAATATCTCAAAATTTAACTAGTTGATGATTTAATCGATTAGTTGTTTCAAAATTTTCCAAATCGATTAGTTAAAAAGTTGTCAACTAGTTAGTTTTTCAACTATTGATTTGAATCACTAATATATAGAAAAGCTATATATACTGCGAGATATATTGAAAATGATACAGCAACTAAAAAAAAAATTCAAGATAAGATACAAAATAGATATGATAACTTTAAAACTAATACAACAAGGATAATAGATAGTATTCTGCAGAAACATAAAGACTCTGTACAATTCCAGAATATATCTACTCCAACTGAAATCATCACTGAGCTACATCTAATACAAGAGCATATCCAAAGGTACTATGAAAACTGAATACAACTAAACCAATATGATACACAATCTTGAACAATCTGAAAAGATGAGTACAAACCAAAGAAAAATATCCTACCAGAATGATATGATAGCATGCTTCAAGATATAATACATGCTAAGTTTAAAAATAATATAGTATTAGCTTTCACAAAGAAAGCAACAGGCCTACAGCTAATCTCTAATGAGATGCTAAAATATCTAGACAATTACATATTAGAATATATTTTTAATATATTTAATATATGTCTTAAACTACAAGAAATTCTAAGTGCTTGGAAATAAAACTTGATTTATCCTATCTCAAAAAAGCTAACTTTCACTAGGCAGCTAAATCATACTCGTCCAATCTCTCTAATTGAATACACAAGGAAGATCTTTACAAAGATAATTACTATTAGACTAAGCAACATCTGTTCTCAGTACCTAATTCTAAATAATTCTAACTTTGTCATCCTATCAGATAACTCAACATCTACACTAATCACACTTCTCTCTCATATTATAGAAGACTTACAAGTACAAAATAAAAAAGTCTGAATACTGGCACAAGACATAAGTAAGGCTTATGATAAAGTTCATATACCCTTACTCAAAAAAGCACTCCTCAGAATTAGATTACCTCTTCCTATAGCCAACCTTATCTTCAATATTTTTTTTCACTGTTTAAACTCAGTAATTACAAACTTTGAGAATACTAAACTATACTAAATTTATAATAGTATCAACTAAGAAGAGATGATTACTCCTCTTCTGTAGCAAATATACTACAACTCATTACTTACAAGAGTAGCTAAACTATACATAGGATATACAATACTTAATACGAAGCACCAATTTGAATTAACATATAAAATTAATCTACAAGTCTT